AAGTAAACGCATTTTTAGAAATATAAAAATTGTATAGAAATATAATATTATTTCATTTCTTTCGAATATTTCTACTTTTTCTTTCTTTGATTATTTTTAGGTACCTGGAAAGATCGTCATATATAACCAAAAATTTGTTTCATACGGTGAAACTGTAAAATATCGAACTAATGGTGGGACGCAAGCCTCGAAATATGGGGCTGTCGCTGCCCTAGTTCGATCAGTTACGCCATATTCGTTGTATACTCCGCACACGGGTCATCAATCGTACGGTGAGAATGTGACTAAGATTCCAGTGGCTTCGATCACTGTCGAAGATGCTGCGTTGTTGAAAAGAATGGCGAATAGAGGTAAACAATTATTTATAATTTTTAAATTATCAATAATAGTTATTTTTAAATAATGATATGAATAATAGATATAAATAATTTTAAATATTTGCAAATCTTCTGGATAATTAAGTATTTTATTATAACTAGATTTTGCAGGATATATCTATATAATGTTGAATTTAATTATCCAATTTTTAACTATAATGTTTCTTCTATGATATTTTAACATTCCATTAATAATGTGATTTGAAGAATATAAGAAATTTTATTTAAAATTTTTTAATTTGTTAAATATTATTTAAAGAATTATCAATAATAGTAATTTTAAGATAATAAATATGAATAATTCTGAATTTCTACAATTTTTCTTAACTTGATTAAGAACTTTATTCTTATCTAAATCTTGACATTATTATTCATGAAAAATGATATCTCTTATTTTACAATTAATAACTATTTATTATCCTTTCTTCCATAATATCTTATCATTTTAATTAAATTTAATTGAATAATTAGATTTAAAATATTTTGAATTACTTTTAAAATTCGAATCTGTTTCGACAAAATCTTAATATTTTTGAAAATTTTAAAATATATATATGATTCTGAAGATATCGAAATTCTTAATTTTTCAAAAAATTTTTTTAGATTTGAAACTCTTGAGAGTTATTTTGTCTCATTTGTTTGTATTTATTTGTATTTATTTGTTTCAGGTGAAGTGCTTGAAATCAATTTGAAAATGGAAGCGAGAAATCTACCATCCTCGGTATCGCGAAATGTAATTGCCGATTTCCAAGGTTCCGCAAATCCTCAAAAGATTGTCGTTGTTTCTGGCCATATCGATAGTTGGGATGTTGGTCAAGGAGCAATGGACGATGGTGGTGGTGCATTCATTTCGTGGCAGGCTGTGAAACTATTGAAACATCTTAATTACAGACCACGACGAACAGTTAGGTAAGTTTATTTATAAGTTAAAGTTTATTTATTAACTATTCAAATTGAATGATTTTAATTTTAAAGTAATAATAAAACTCAAGTTATATTAAAAATATCTATAATACTAATTAAAAAGAATTGTGTTTATTCAATCGATATAATATATAGAAATTATTTTAATAAACTAGAATGAATTAAAATCCAATATAATAAATTATAGATTATTTAAGAATAATATTTTCATTTTCATAATCTTTTTTGAATCAATTTATATTTTGTATTCGTATATGATAATATATAAATTTTATAAATGAATTAATTTTTTTTTCGATTAAAATAATATTGCGAAAAGATTTTGTTTGAATGAGTAAAGATAAAAAACAATATTGTGACAAGTTGTCAATATATTAATTAACATAAAAAAATATACAATTATGTTGATTGCATGAAATTAAATGAATATTTCCAGTCAAGTTGATTCTTACAATTTTTTAGTCACATTGGTTCGTCATTTTTAATTAAGAATATTTCTATAATTCTTTATTATACATTATAATATATCATTATTTTAATTTCATTCATTAATTTTTTAAAGCAAAAAATACTAAAGTTTAAGATATTTAATTAAATTTTTTGAAAATTAATTTTAATGATAGATTGATCATGTGGACAGCAGAAGAAATGGGATATATAGGAGCTCTGGATTTCATCAAGACTCATAAATCTGAACAAAATAATTTACAGTTTGTAATAGAGTCGGATGGAGGCACGTTCACGCCTTTGGGCATTGAATATACTGGAACAGATGTAGTTGGATGCATCTTACAAAGGATTATGACGTTAGTTTATAATATGAAATTAAATAAAATTCATTAAAAATATTGTAATAAGTAAATGTTTCATTTTTTTCAATTTGCTTCACTTTTTTCAGTCTTTGCTCTTCTCTGGGAAACATGAAGGTTCGCAGTCCCAGTCAAGGACCCGATATCGCTACTTGGATAAACGAAGGTGTACCAGGAGCTTCTCTTTGGAATCAGGATGATAAATATTTTTATTACCATCATACGAACGCGGATACTATGTTGGTTGAGGATTCAGAAGCTCTTGACAAAGGAACAGCTCTTTTCGCTGCACTGTCATATATTCTTGCCAATCTTAGTATAGATTTACCACGACACAAATGATGAAACTATTATATTATTAATGAAAAAAATTTATCAAAAAAAAAGAAGGAAATATTTATAATTAATATATAATATATATTAGAATATATATTAGAATTTGTATAATTTTTACATGAAATATGAAATAATGAATAATGAAAAACAGGATGAAAATATATATATTAAAACATATAATTTCTATTTTTAGTATATTAAAACATATAATTTCAATTTCTAGTATGAAATGTAAAAAATGTAAAAAATAAATGTTTTATTAAATTATAAAATAAAGAAAATTTTTTTATTTAGAAAATTCAAAAAAAGTCTGTAAAATAAAATTAAAATAAAGAAATGAAATTTTGATTCACTTAACATTCTATCTTCGTATCAATGGAATAGAATAAATAATAACTAGAACATTGTTGAAAACTTAAACTTAATTAAAATTGCAATCTATGAGCTATCTATAGAATTTAATCATATTTAATTTCGATTAGAAGTTTCAATATCAAAATTAAATAATTCAAATTAAACTTATTCGATTATTAAAGATGAGATTAAAGAAAATAACACGTATTTAACTTATTCTACTTAATTTAATCTAACCTAATTTATATTAAACTTCAAAAATAGAATATCTAACTTATTCCAAAGTTTAAAACTATGATATATAATTCCAAAAATATTTTTGTCTTTCTTGTTAAAAAAAAATATATATATATAAAAAAATATTCAGAATGATGATATACTTCAAAATCAAGGTCATAAAAATCAATAAGATAATCATTATTTTAAATAATTATCAACATTTTTCATGTTCAAACTGATAATAAATTACTATTAATAATAGAAAAAATATTCATTGCGATTCTCGTAAAGTATTTTTATTTCAAACGTA